GAAAATCACCCAAGCCAACCTGAAGGTTAACAGGAACTGGGTCTCTCAAAGGGGTGGGAGTAGACTGCCCAAAGCATGGCAAAGGTCAGAGAAACAAGGTCTTGGGCTGACAAACATGAGTGGTAGCCACCTCCCTCCTAGGTTTGGAGGCTTGAGAAATTGTCCAGGACCAGTCTAGCCCCCAGGACTGGAGAGATTGGTGAGTGTGAGATGGATAAGACCTGATGGGATGAGGTCTAAACCTCTCCCCCTCACACTTTCCCCAAGGACACCCAGCTCCAGCTGGATGACGCAGTCCGTGCCAATGATGACCTAAAGGAGAACATCGCCATCGTGGAGCGACGCAACAACCTGCTGCAGGCCGAGCTGGAGGAGCTGAGAGCTGTGGTGGAGCAGACCGAGCGGTCTCGGAAGCTGGCAGAGCAGGAACTGATCGAGACCAGTGAGCGGGTGCAATTGCTGCACTCCCAGGTGAGCAGCTCCCCCCGTGCTTTCCTGAAGGGAGCAGGGCTGGTGTGACTTAGCAGGTAAGGGTGAGAGACAGTCAGGGATGCTCAGTGCCTTTCCTGCTCTGGCCACTCTCTGCCCTCAGAACACCAGCCTCATCAACCAGAAGAAGAAGATGGAAGCAGACCTGTCCCAGCTCCAGACTGAAGTGGAGGAGGCAGTACAGGAGTGCAGGAACGCAGAAGAGAAGGCCAAGAAGGCCATCACAGATGTGAGTCCCCCACCCTGCCTGCCCACTCCAGGGCCGGGAAGCCAAGGCCTGAGGACTCGAGCAGTCCTTGCACCCCTCTCTCCTGTGCACAGGCCGCCATGATGGCGGAGGAGCTGAAGAAGGAGCAGGACACGAGCGCCCACCTGGAGCGCATGAAGAAGAACATGGAGCAAACCATTAAGGATCTGCAGCACCGGCTGGACGAGGCAGAGCAGATCGCCCTGAAGGGTGGCAAGAAACAGCTTCAGAAGCTGGAGGCCCGGGTGCGGGAGCTGGAGAATGAGCTGGAGGCCGAGCAGAAGCGCAACGCAGAGTCAATCAAGGGCATGAGGAAGAGTGAGAGGCGCATCAAGGAGCTCACCTACCAGGTGCAGGCAGGCGGATCAGTAGATGTGACACTGGCTTCTCTAGCTCCACCTCCCAGCCCACACTACGCCCCTGCCTCACCACTGTCTGGGAATGCCAGGCAGCACTCCTGTCACATGCTCTTTCACATTCTCTGAGTCAATTCATAAAACCATGAATTTTTGCAGCAAATGAAGACTCTGCTTTTGGAAAACTCTTTTAACCAGCATTCCCTGCTCCCCCCCACCTTTTTTTTTTTTTTAATGTTGTAATAGGGTTTGAACTCAGGGCCTCATCCTTTCTATGCAGGTGCTCTTACCACCCTGATTTTTTAATAATTACCTTCCCTTGATTTTTTTTAATAACTCAGAGTGCTACCATGAAAGCCTCAGAATAATCCAGAGAATCTTTCCACTTTCTACCAGTCACACAGACAGGGACATTGTCTCAGGTGATGGGAAAAGACTTGGTGATTTTCTGTGGAACTTCTGGGATACTAAGAGAAAAGCTTTAAAGAAAGATCTCAGAATGTTCTAAGACCTCCATCTGCATAGCTCTGAGGTTTTGCCCTTGACCTGTTATTTCCACCATATATGGAAAGGGAAGAGGGAGGAGATAGGGCTATTAGTTCATTTGACAGATAGGTGAATACCAGAGGCACCTGAAACAGATCACAGATTTATTGTGGACAAAAGTAGAAATGATATCCTAGCATACACAATAACATGGCATAGGAACAATCAAGTGACACAGGAGCCAGTGATCCTGGTGCCTGAATTCTGGCCCAAGGCAGCGTATTAGAATATTAGGCTATGACAGATTAAAATAATCTTGACAATGATAAGACCCCATTCCTTCTGCCTTCCTCTTCCGGTCACATCAGAACCACTGCCCAACAGCATCCATGTTGCTGCAGGTGGGAATGCAAGCCACCAGACTGAGGCTGGAACAGACCAGGTGCCTCCATATGACCACATTAACGAGTTCCATTTGGTTCTGAGCTAGACCCCAACCTCTAACTTTTGAACAACAACCTTCATTCCTTTGTGGATCCCTGGCTGAAGCTGGCCTTGCCTCTTTGACCTACAAGTAGAGTCAGAGATGGAATTTTCCCCACCACCTCTTTGACCCGAGCCATTGAGGAGAAGGCAGCTGGGGCTGGAAAGAATGGAATGAGAGCAGAAGGAAAGGTGATTATAAGGAAAAGTGCCCCTCCCTTAAGACTGGCTTCTCCCACCTTCCCATCCCCAGACAGAGGAGGACAAGAAGAACCTGCTACGGCTACAAGACCTAGTAGACAAGCTGCAGCTGAAGGTCAAGGCCTACAAGCGCCAGGCCGAGGAGGCGGTGAGTGTGACACTGCTGAGGTCCAGGCCTGAAGGAGGGACATAGGGGAGCCAGTCCCCCAGGCTGGAAGGCTGAGGGCTCAGGCCCCCTGTCCCCTCATCCTTCCATCCCCTCACCCCTTCACAGGAGGAGCAGGCCAACACCAACCTGTCCAAGTTCCGCAAGGTGCAGCACGAGCTGGATGAGGCAGAGGAGCGGGCAGACATCGCTGAGTCCCAGGTCAACAAGCTGAGGGCCAAGAGCCGTGACATCGGTGCCAAGGTGGGTCCCTCCTCTGCGCTTCGCTCGTCACCCCCACCACAGCTGCCCCTGACATGTATACCCTTCAGAGTGGGTACTCCTTGAGGCTCTCACAATACCCATAACCTGAGAATTCATCCACCCTCCTGCTCAGAGTAACCTCCTTCCCCCACCCCAACAATAGACTGGAACCTCAGCAGGAACTGGTGGCTCACGCCTGTAATCCTAGCTACTCAGGAAGCAGAGATCAGGAGGATCTCGGTTCAAAGCCAACCCAAGGAGATAGTTCAAGAGACCCTATCTCGAAAAAACTAATCACAAAAAAAGGGCTGGTGGAGTGGCTCAAGGTGTAGGCCCTGAGTTCAAGCCCCAATACCAAAAAAAAAAAAAAAAACCCACCAGAACCTGTAGAAAGCCCAGTCCTGTCCTCTTAACTACAAGTGCCCTAAATATGGGCTCAAAGAGCCCTGAGGCCTAAACTCTCCCTTTCTAAGGGCATCTCTCTTAGGTCCCTGAAAGCTCTAGGGATTTTTCCCCATGCCATCTTGCCAGCTCTCCCTCACATCTCTTATTTCTTTCTCAGCAAAAGATGCACGATGAGGAGTGATGCTGTCCTGAGAACCTCACTATTGTCAACCCACAATAAACATAAAGGTCTAACTCTACCTGTGTCCTCTGTCCTTCCCACTGGCCATCCATCCTGAAGCAAGAGAGCTGGCTCAAGAGGAGGGTGGCCCCTGCTTCCATATCACAGGTGTGGGAGCCACATCTGTGGAGGAGAAATGAGGGATCCTGCCGGATTCCTCACAGCCTTGAGTACCATTTCTGCTCAACCACTCAAGGGAGGAAAGGGAGAAATTTCAAAAGTGAGGCAAACAGCCAGGTGCTGGTGGCTCACGCCTGTAATCCTAGTTTCTTAGGTGGCAGAGATCAGGAGGATTGTGGTTCAAAGCCAGCCCAGACAAATAGTTAACTATCTCAAAAATATCCAACATGAAAAGGAGAGTGGCTCAAGGGATAGAGTGCCTACCTACCAAGTTTGGGGCCTTGAGTTCAAACCCCAGTATATATATATATATATATATATGTAAAAAACGGGGGCAAACAAAGGTACCGAAAGGGTGAGCCAATTTTAGACCCTGGTGGACAGAATTCGGTGCCAAAAATGAAGCCACTCTCCACCTACTTCACTTCTGAGGCTGCAGAGGTTAAAGTTATCCTGGGATACTTGTTCTTTCCAAAACAAAATTCCCACTGATGCCAGAGGAGGCTCAGAGCTGGCCAGAGGCGGTGGTGCAAGGAAAAGGATATAGGATCAGTCCCATTCTATCAGTCCCTTAGAAGTAACCCACAGGGAATGCACCCCGCACCCCAGCCTCTGGGGTCGGCACTTCACCATGAGGACCTCTCAGGACTCTGGGGCCAATCAACAATAAGCCCAAACCATTATGCAGCATGGACCAAACCTAAGCAATGCACATCTCTCTTTTTTTTTTCTCTCACACAGATCCAGACAAGCACAAAGGTGTGTACAAATGCACACCAGGGATGCATTTCTGCTGTCTCTGAGCTCCTACTGAGGCCCATTCTCATAGCTGCTCAAGGGGTAGAAATGATCCCGACCTCCTGCTCAAAGCAAAGTCCTGCCCTCCACTGGGCTTTTTGACAGTGCTCTCCAGACCACTTTCTTATCCCTTTACCTGGCACTCCTCTCCTGGGCTCCCCTCCTCTTCTATCCCTCCTCTGGGGCCCTACCCCTTCTAACCCCCCCACTGCCAAGGTCAGTCAGCTAGTCTTGAGAATAGACTATGCATAAAGCCTGAGAATGGAGCAAAATCCAGAAAAAAAATCCACTTGGTTCTCTCCCTGCATAGGCCAGCCAGGCCTAATGAAGAGGCAGAACGCAAGGATAGAACAGGAAACATAAGGCAGGAAAAGTGAGTCCAAGAGAGGTGCAGTCACCACCTCCTCAGCCTGGTTCCAAAGAAGGACCATGACCTGCTCTGGACATTTCCATGAATACTTCTTGGCATCCCTAATCTGCCTCATTTCTGGGACAGAAGAAAACTCACCAGTAGGATTTGAATCTTTTAATCTGGGAATGACTTGGAAGCACAGAGGCCTCCTCTGCCCCTGCCCCCTCCCTCCTCTGACCAGAACTTCATCAGGAGCAGAGCACCAGGTTCCACAGATACTTCCCCGTGACTTCTCAGGCACACTTCTCTGTAGACCTGGGTGGAGGACAGTGGGCTGGGCAGGGGTGGGGAGATGTCAATGAATCCAACGGAGATGTGTCTGGGCTCCATGGTCCCTATGTCTGGCTGAGCCTGGAAGCCAGGTAGCCCTGGAGTCACTGCTGATCCCCTGTGAAGATGGAGCCAGGCAGGGAGGCCATGCCTGAGTGTGGTATCTGGGGTGGGGGTGGGGACATCTCCTCTCTTGAGGTATGGAACTCACCTTGGGTGGCCCTGGGTGCCATCTCAGTCTGGTAGATCTTGAAAGCATCATAGGCAAAGACAGAAACCAGGATGATGCCAAAAACCTGTGGAAGGAGGAGTGGGGATGGCACAGCAGAGGCTATTGAGCCACTGGATCAAGGGAGAGGGAGATGGGTGGTACAGGGAGAGACATGAGCCAGATCCCAGGCACTGGCTTTGGATACCAGCCAGAGGTCCTAAATGGCTAGAGAGCCCTACAGGGCTAGACTCACAAAAGCAGCAATGGCAGCTCCCTCCCGGGAAGTCACAGCAGCAAAGGAGACCACCAGGAAGATGATGATGGCGCTGACACAGCGGAGGAGATCCTGGGGAGCCAGGAGTGACATCAGAAGGTGGAGGGGCATCACCGGGAGGATTCTCAGGGCTACACAGTGATGCACTTTCAAAAATGAGAGCTCACAACACTTCCCAGGGAACGGAAGCAGATGAATCCAGAGTAGATGAGTGGGCAGGGAGGGGTGGGGGTGGGGGCTTTGGTAAGTGGGAGAGCAGACCTAAGGGATGTATGTCCTCAACTGTGGTAGGAACCCTGCAGTGTGACATCAGTGCTGGTCAGAGTAGTTTTAAGTACAGCACAGCATGGGGTAAGGCCAAGCTGGTGTAGAAATGGAGGGAAGCCGGGAAAAGAAAGGAAAACTCAGCTCTCACAGGGGAAGGAGGGAACAGGACAGGGAGACGTTGTTCCTCACCAGACAAGGCCAGTTAAGCTGATCGAAGCGCTGATAGTACTGGGTAGCATAGAGGAAGAAGAAGGCTAGCGTGATGAAGAACTCCAGCAGCGCCGCGGCCATGTAGGCAGAGATGGAAGCCGTGAAGCAAATGAAGATGATGAAGGTCAGGGCCTGCAGGACCAAGTGTGGGGAGCTTGCCAGGAAGGGGACACATGCACAGACCAGGCCTTGGCCCTGGCCTTGTCCTCCTTGAACTCCCCCATCTCCTGGCAACACCCATTACCAGTCCTTGGAGAGAAGGGTTCTGGCACATCTCTCATCCCTGGTGTCAGTGGCCACCATTCTAGGGCATTTGCCCATTGAGGGCCACTCCAGCCTCCGGGCCCTGCCAGCCCAGGAATCCCAGAAACACCAGGATTTGGCCAAGCTGCACAGCCTCTGGGGGACGAGTCTATGATCATCCACTGGAATGGTGTCCCCAAGAGCGCAGAGTACAAGGTGCATGTCAGCTCCTAGAGTTATGCTAGGAGATACTGCAGTTCCCATAATGCTTTCCTCACTCCCAGGTGCCTAAAACTCCACTGACAAGAACCAGAGCCTTTGAGTCCATGCAAGAGAGAAGGCTTGGAAGACAGATGTTGCCCACATAGAGGATGGCAGACATGCAGAGCCCTTAGATTGTCACTGTGATCTCACTAAGTAACAGGAAGATCCTCCCTGAGAGTAGGTGTTCATGGGCAGCAGTGACAAGGTATGGCTACAGAATTCTGCCTTTTTTGATAGTTAAACTTATTGGATGTGCCAAGAAGTGGCCATTCTAGAGGCGGAGGAAAGACAGGCCAGCATTCCCCATGTCTCCCTATGTCTCTCAATGTACCCTCCCCATGTCTTCCTCAGGGTCCCAGAAAGCAGTCATTCCATCTAAGTTCAATCTGTCCTGCTACAACTGAAACCTGCTGTAACTGCCTCCAGATGGAAAGGCAGCAAGAATACTGTGAAGGAGATGAAGAAGGCGCACGCTCGGGGCAGAAAGCCTGGGAGGGGGACTGCTGAGTGGTGAGCCTGTGGGGGGTGGAGGGGGCAGGGATGAGCACAGGGCTGGGCCAGGGAGCTGGGGATGGGAGTGGGAGAGATGAAGGCACCAGGTTGGGGAAGCAGCTGTTACCAGCTCAGTTTCCAGCAGGATGCCTTTGAAGGAAGACAGGAAGGTCTTGTCCACAGCGAAGCCCTGGAGTTCTGCAGCTGCCCTCTCCTCGGAGGGGCGGTCCCGGCGATCCCAAGCACTGAACATCTCCTTGAGGCCCACTGGGCACAGTCCCCCACCACCAGCCCAGGAAGGAAAACTGAAACCTGCCAGGATGGGGAAACAGACAGGAGTGAGAAGACACTTTGAGAAAACTGCAAGTGAAGCGGTGGACTGCCCGCAGGGCCCCAGAAGAAGGCAGCAGCTGGGGAAGGTCTACCCAGATGGGCTTCACCCAGCTGCCCAGAGTGCCTCTGCTTTGGCCTGCACCGGCCCCCTAGGAGGACATGAGGAGGGTTAGAGGAGGCGTGGTTAAGTGGTTAAGGCTTCTCTTACTCCAACCCAACCCAGCCCAAAGAAGGAAAAAAGGAAGAGGGAGAGGAGGAGGCCAGAAAGAAACCAGAGGAGTTAGGAGGTAAGCGAAGAGACAAGTGCAGAGCTAGGAGCCCCCCAGAGACCTAAGCCTGAAAAAGTTTGTGTCCTCCTCCCATAATCTTAACGCTCTTCTTTGGCTGGTCCTTTCTCTTTTCCTTTTAGGGAGGGTGGGAGCTGGAGTCCAGCCCAGGCAGCATCCCCAGGACCAAGCTGCAGAGAGCCAGGATCCGAGGACAAAGGCAGATTGTTGAGGAGACAAGGGGGCGCTGTGTGCCCACTGCAGTGCCTCAATGGGCCTCTGTCTCTTCAGCATGCCAGGCCTGAATCCCACGCTGGTGGTCAGGGATTGGCCAGGGAGGCAGAGAAAGGAGGGAATGGGAGGGCAGGGAGAGCTGGCAGAATAAGCAGTAGGTAAGGGCTGGTGTTAGAAAGAAGAAAGAACCAGGCTGAGAACCACAGGATGTTCAGATATCATGGATGCCAAAAGACAAGTTAGGCATTTTTAAATAGATATTTATTTGGATAAATCTCTCCATGTTCAATAACAGCATCCTCCTCACAATGACCCATGTGGAATAATTACATCAGGATGTGCACAAAGTAGATGCTCGCTGAATATTTGATAAATGAGTGAATGAAAGAACACACGAACAAATGAAATAAAGGGTGAAGGGAAACTATCAAGAAAGTGGCTGTGCTGGGCCAGGGCAGCTGGAGATGGGAAGAGAGAAAGAGCCAGGAGTGTAGCTTCCCACCATGGGCAGTTTGAAGACCTTTCCTGAGAGGAAATGCCAAAACACCAGCTTCCAGCAGCCATAAGTCGAAGCGGCTCCCCTCTAAAAGTGCTTCCAAAAAGTGCAAAAATGTGGGTTTCTCCCCAACCCCCCATTGGTCCAAGGATCCTGCTGCTCCAGGTGGTACTTTGGAGGGACTTTGCATTCAGGAACCCTGGGCCACCGTAGCAAGGTGATTGTACACCTGGCTCGAGTTTTCCTGACAAGGGACCAGCCTCAGAGAGCTGGCTGGCAGGACTAAGCCATCACACGGGGCCGCACACACACGCAAGCCAAGGAGACACGGTAAACCCTGCGCTCCAGGCAATAGCCATGATGGGCACCCTGCTCGCCGTGACAGGGGCGCCGGTAGAAGACAGTCTGGTTGTGGTACAGCAGCTCCGAATTGCCCAGGGGGTCCATGTGGGAGCCCGTCTGTAGGCTGACGCAGTGTGGACATAGGCAACGAGCATGGTACAGGTCCTGAGGGAGCCGGTTCAAATCCCTGTCCAACCTGTGGGGACAGCACTGGTTAGACCTTGGAGGGACACCAGGCCAGAAATAGGGAGGGTTGGGTGGGGTGTAGAAGGTAGAGGAAGGAAATGGTGCAGTTGGAGACCTGGCTGTTTGTTTGTCGAGGCAGGGTCTTGCTAAGTAGCCGGGGCTGGCCTGGAACTTACTATATAGCCCATGCTAGCCTCAAACGCATAATCCTCCTTCAGCCTCCTGAGTGCTGGGATTACAGGCACGCACCACTATGCCTGTGTGGGACCTGGCTTCTTATCTCAGTTCTGGCACCCATTGTTGATAACTTTGAATAAGTCACCAGAACCTATGGGATTTATTGCCCCCAACTATAAGTGTGGGTAGGGGTCAAAAGAGTGGTTTTTCAATTGGTCCTGGGGTCCTTAGGGAAGCATGGAAGGTGAGCAGCCTCCTGCCTCACCAAACCAGCTCTGTTTCCATCTCCATATAAACTGAGATCTAGCATGAAGTTTTTAGTGTAATTATTAAATTTTAGGGTTTTTAAATTACTATTATTGCAAAGCTAAAAACTGTTTTGAACACTATGTATAAAAAAATATAAAATGAAGTCTCACAATTGTTCTCCACCAGTCCTACCCCCCAGAGGGAGCCATTTCCTGCACATCCTTCCAGATACCGTCCAAGCATGTATAACATGTACACTCAGGGCTCAATGGTTCATGCAAAGACTTCTATACCTATTTCGAAAAGATTTCATAGCCAAAGAAAAGACTTGGAAACCAGTGAAAAGTAGTACTGTGGACTCCAGTAGCCTAGCAGGAAATCCCCAGGTTGTAGGAACATCCTCCAAACAGACAAACCTGGCAAACTGGGGTTCAGCACTTCCCAAAGTGAGTTCCCTAATAAATATCCTGCAAGAAAAGATTCTGAGGTCAAATCAGTTTGAGAAACAGCTTAGTGGTTTCTTTTTTGTGAACTTCCTGCAGACTATTGCATGGAGGGAAATGTGAATCTCCAAGGAGTGAGGGCTGGAGTAGCCTTTCCCAAACTTACTTGACATCATTTTTTTCTGCGGAGCAGCTTGTGGGACGAGTGTGGCACAGAACACTCTTTGGGGAAGGCATGTTGAGAGATTATCAGGGCTTCACGGCCTCCTAATGAGGGGTCTGGGCCCCAGCCGAGCCAGTATCTGGCACCCAGCCTTCCTAAAAGGATCCCACACTGTCAATTTGTTCGAGGACCTAGTTAGCTTTCTGAGACCACTCCAAAGCATTATGTCCTGGTGTTTCTACCTTAGTTAAAGCAGACTCTCTCCTTATACCACTGAACTTCTCCATCCATCCCCAAAACCAAGGCTAACCAGAACCAGACACACAGGAAGTAGCAAGACAGGCCCCCCAGAGAGGACACAAGACAGAAGAAATATGTCTGGGATTCCTAAGGTCCTGATTTTTAATATTTTGTCTCTTTGTCCCTATTTCAGGGTTTTCTAGTATGTTTTACATCATGACACAAATACAGACTTATAATATTTATATGGCACACTGTGGCAAAAGAATAAGATAACCATGATTATGATTAAAGAGAATGAGCCCAGCGATCCTGCCATCTAGTTGCCCCCAGGAGCTGAGGGGTTTGCTATCCTTGTAACTTGTCCAGGGTCTAGGACAGTAGCATTTGCTACTGGGATGCTTTGTGCTAATATCCCTTGATATTTTAGTTAAAAAATCATGGGCCATGGCAGAGACAAAAAGGAGGAAGAAAAGTGGAGAACCAACATAAATACACACTTTCCATACATGATTTCATTTGATCTGCACATTGTCCTGTAGGACATAATCAAGCAAACAAACAAACCCCAAGCTCCTATAGTCGCCCAATGGGAGTCAGAGCTAAAACTCAAATCCAGCCCTGTGTAGCTCCCAAATCTTTTTGGCTTTTCTGTGATTAAAAGGAAAAGGAAAACTAAGATTGAGGGAGCTCTCCCGGTCCCTCACACATGCCCCGACAGCACGCACAGGAGGACACATACAACCATTCACGAGGAGGACAGCAGACTCACTCATATCTCCATGGGGAGATGGCCCTGCTGTTAAGAGGTCCATCTTCGCTGGCTCTGCAGGATTCTGGGTGGTGGGCAAGACTAGCAGGCTCTGGGGGAGATACAGGCGCGGTGGTCCACTTCAGCAGCTCCTCAGGGAAAACTTGTCCTTTGCTGGGGCAGCAGCTGGGCCAATGGCTGCAGTCCCTCTGGAACCGAAAACTGAGGGTTCCCACAATCATTGCCATGAATGAAACCACCTGTAGGCAAAGGCCAGCAAGAAGAGTGCTCTTACCTAGTCTGGTTCCCAGCCCATCTGAACCTCTTCCAGAGCTGCTCTCTGAGATCCCAGATCTGGGAGCCCAGCCTCCCTCCACCCTCAGCAAAGTTCTCTGCCAGCCCTTAGTGTACTCACCTGGTACATGCTGGATGCTGCTCACTCAGCCAGCCACAGGTGCTACCTGACTGACACACAGGCCTTCTGGAACCAGGCTGACTGAAGAAGTTTAGAAGTCCTGGTTTTATTTTCAGCAAACCTGTTTTGTTTATTCAAATTTATTTCCACTATCTTTTAGAGGGTGTGGCTTGAAATTAAAAACAAAACAAAACAAACCTAAAAGCATTTCTAAAAGCTGTTTAAAATGCTACCCTCATGGAAGCTGTGATGACTGTCATTATCAGCCTGGTTGCTCTTTGCACTTTTCCGGGGTGTGGGGTCAAAGCATTCTGCTAGTCTGTGTCTTTGTGAACTAGCATATGGAAATTACCCCGGGTTGGTTTGACAGCTCAAATTAGGGATGTCATCTAACCTCCTTTCCAGAGGCCTCATTTCCATGATCTCTGCTACTCCCACCTAGAGTCTGAGCGCCACTCTTTCCCTTCTTCCCAGAAGTCCCTGATCCCCCTCATGTCCCTTCCACTGCATCTCCTTGCTCCCCCATCCCCTTGGTTCTCTGACTCTTCATCTCCAGTTGCTACCCCATCCATACACCCACACTTTCCAGGGCCTCTTCCTTGGGACAGGGATGTAGGTCTTATCTCACAGGGCTGCCAGGAAGGCCCTGACTGCAGTAGTTTGTTGGCTGGATGGGCAAGGCTTGCTGGAAGAAGCTGTGGGTGACTGTTCCCATTGCACAAATGAGAAAGTGGAGCAAGGAAGAGGAGGAGCAGGGACAACCTTACCTAAGACCCAATACAAGGTCTCCCCCCTCACACACCAGGTCTTGAGGACAAGGCTTGATGCAGGGATAGCCACTGCTCCTGGGCCATGCACACTTGGCCTCAGCATTCTCAGAAACATGGAACACTGTTGGAAGGCTGACCCCAAAAGACAATGGCCAGGGTCCAGACTGCCAGGGAGGACTGTTCCAGACCTTTCTCTTCAAGCTTGCTCATTGCCTACTCCACCCCAACACACTCACACACAGACATTGTCTCTAGAGTAATGTTTCCTGATTTGCATGTGCTTTCCCTCAGAAAATACTCCTGTAGTAACCAAGGACTCGGGACTAAACAAAGGGAATAGAGTGAGGGGAAATCTTTCAAATGCTATAAGGTAAAGCAGCCCCAAAGGAGCGATGAGATGCCGGAAGGCATTCTGCAAAAACCAGGAGCTGCTCTGGTGAGTACTGGGGGGTCTGTGGGGGGAGGTGCTCAGGAGAAACAGGTGGTGACCACGAATGTGGGAGCAGTAGGAAGAGCAAAGAGTATAGGAACACCATCACCCACCGCCACACCCACCCTTGCCACGCCAAGTTCCCAGGCATCTTCTCTCTTCTATGCACTGCTGGCCTCGATCCTGTGCACTCAGTGTGCCAGGCATTGTGCTACACCCTGGACATACATCATCTCATTTTATCCTGACAATAAGATGATGACATGGAAACTATTATCCTCATATTACAGATGAGGAAACTGAGAACCAACGAAATTCAGTAAACTACTCAAGGTCACACAGAAAGAGGCTGAGCCAGTTTTCCCTTTCAGCCCCGAATAAATCTAAACCTAAGCCCCTCGAAAGGAGCTATGACCAACCTGCTCTCTGTGAATGGAAGGGAGCCTCCACGGTGAATGCTTTCCTTCTCACCTGGGCTTAGGTTAGACTGGTCTCACTTGCACCTGCCCAAGGCCACAGGGTATCCCTGCCCCCTTAGGCATTCAGCCTCTTGGCTGTGATCCACTACTCCAGCTTCCTGTTCCCTAACTTTTGATCTGGCACATGCCTCAATGTGGCTTCTGGTGTTCCTAAACAACCCCCAACTCCAGATCGGGCTCTTAGGTGTCAATGTTGTTTCAGGAGAGCTGGATTTCTATGGGTCTACCCAAATAATCAGATCCCCAGGGCCAAAGGAGCAAAACTGGAGTCTGATCTTGGCCCCCATGCAAGAAGGGGTTCTCAGAGGGGCTGGAAGTGATCCCAGTTTCTTGTTCCAACTGCTGACACTGCAAAAAGGACTCCGTCTGAGTGACTGGGACATTGCCCTTCAGGAGAGGCCACTGGGATATCCCTCTGTCTCTGTACCTCAGGGCACAGGAAACCCTGAAGAGGGAGGATCCCTACAGGTACACAGTCTCCACCAGGATTAACTTTTCTCATCCCATGTGACCAGGCCTGACTCAAGAACCTCTGCTATGAGCCACATGCCCCTACCGCCCCACCCCGTTTGTTCAGTCTCTGTCCTTATCTCTGTAGTAGCTTTGTGGGACTCTTTACGGTGACTCCCTGTCATGAGAAACATTTTCCAGAGGGTTTCCTCCTGGAGTGACTGGTTTTGGAATCCCTGAGTCACTTCAGCTTCCAGGGAATCCTTAGGGGCGTGGAGGTATGGGACAGCAATAAGGAGAATGCTGGAGGCGAGAGTAAAGGAGGGTTTGCCCAGCACCTGACATCAAAGGTCAACATGTCCCAATATGTCCTTCCAACATGTCCTAACCTGGGATTACTACCCCTGTGCTTCTGAGAAAAAAGGTCAACACATACAAGGAAAAGGCAGGGAAAATGTGATGGAATATACTTTCCATTCCTGGCTTGGAAAAGATCTTGGGACTTGCAGGGAGTTGGAATGTGACTGTCCTACAGCCATGTTCAGAAAGATATTCAAGTCCTCACCTGTGCCCTTGAAGTTTTGGCCCAGCCTTTGAGCAGTTCTTGATTGTAGGTCCTCTCTCTGTTCTTCTCTCCTCATTGGTAAGAGTATGTGTGCTCAGGGACATTGACTTGGATGACCAGAAAGGTGCCAAGTAGCTTGGTTGTTCTGGACCTCAGTTCCTGAAATACTGCACCATCCACAGGACTCAGCAAGGTCTATTGAAACTCATTCATATTCACCTTATGCAAACCTGGGCCAACAGATTGTAAAATGTTGGAATACTTTTGCACCTGCTGGTAAGTAGATGCTGCCCTCAGCCTTGGGACACCCCCCTTCCCATCACAACTTCCTATGATCCAGCAATCAAAGAGTGAATGCTTGACACAGATGGAGCTCACCAGAATTTTGCTGCCAGGTTCTCATTTAGAGGTGATAACAGCTCTGGCTGTTAATTATTTTTAACATCACCTTTAGCTACAAAATGCTTAGGCTCAGGAGCCTGCTTTCAAGGAGAACCCAATTTGAACTGGGAGACACATGGAAAATCCAAATTAGAAGGACAAAGAAGCTGGGCACCAATGGCGCTCGCCTGTAATCCCAGCTACTCAGGAGGCAGAGATCAGGAGGATGGCGATTCAAATCCAGTCCAGGCAAATAGTTTGTGAGACCCTATCTCAAAAAAACCCATCACAAAAAGGGGCTGGTGGAGTGGCTCAAGGTGTAGGCCCTGAGTTCAAGCCCTGGTACCACAAAAAAAAAAAAAAAAAAGCCAGACCCGGGCAAATAGTTCTCAAGAGCCTATCAGCTTACTCAGTTTTGTCCTATACTGAGTATAGGACATACTGCCTGTGTTCATTCATCTGTTCACTAAGTATTTGTTGAGCACCTACTATACATCAGGCACTACCCTTCTAAATTCAGGGAATGCAGAGGAGAACAAGCCAGAAAAGGTGCCTGCTTCAATGATGCTTACGTTTTAGGATAAAACAGATGATAAATAAGAAGATAGTTTCTGGTGATAGTAAGTGTTATGAAGAAAATGAAACAGTATTATGAAATAGGGAGTCACTGTGGAGGGCAGGGGACTGGGGAGGCTGGGAGAGCAACTCTAATTTGGAAAGCCAGGAAAGGCCTTTTCTGAAGATGCAGCATTCGACATGATAATTGAAAAGGTCTGCAGGAAGACTGGTCTAGGCAGAGGAAGCGGGACATGCGGAGTACTAGAAGAGGGAAAGGACTTGGTAAATTTGAGTAACAGGATAGTGTGGAGGGAAAACAAGGGATGAAGGGAAGAGTAGGATGAGATGAGATGGAAAAGCTAGATAGGGACCAGATCACATATGCTATGGTGGAGCATCTGCATTTTATTTCAAGGCCAATGAGAAGGTATTGACTGGATTCAAGCATAATCTAAGTGTGGTTTGCACTGTGCTGTCTCTCACCTACACTCCCCACGCACTGTGCCCCACTAGCCATTTCCCAAGCCACCATCTTGCTTGGTCCTAGCAAGACCTCTTCTGGTCTCCATTTAGTTCCCTGTCCACCTCCACTTTGGGCTCCCATTTAGCTTGGAAGATTCTGGGTAGAGATCATATGTAGCAAACTCCTCAGGGGCCCATGTCTTTGTGCTAAGGTAGCCAGGGCCCCTGGGCTGGGGTCTGGAGGAAGATGGAGTCCTTCCTAGTGGCCACCTCCAACCAGACTGGAGCTGGGATGAAGGAGCTTTCCCTTCAGATGGATCTAGAAATTTAAAAATTCCTTTGCATGCTAATGGAATCTGAGTGTGTTCAAGATTCCTAGCCCCACTCACAGGAGATCTGTACTCCATCTCTGACAGCCAGGCCCAGAGTCAACATCATTCATCCCCATGTTCACCCCAGAATCTCTCAGTAATCCAACCCCATAGGTGCCACCTCTCCCCTCTGTAGAGGGTACTTCCATAGGTACGCAGGCAACAGGGTGAGGAAGGAGTTGGGACAGGTACTCTGCTTCACATACTATCCTAGGAAATGCCCGCAATTTGGCCGGGGGTGGGGGAGGGGTGGGGGTGGGCGGGGTGGGCGGGAACAGTCCCAAGGCCTCAGGTTCACAAAAGGCCTTAAATAAGACTTTTGATATTATCTCCAAATGAAGTAATGACTAGAGTCACTGTCTATTTTATGTGTTTGAAATGTTAATTTGTTAAAATGTAAACACTGAAAACGTACTGTAGGTTTTCAACTGTGTTAAGCATCTTGATTTTTAAATACCAAGATGTTTTTAAATCTCAAAAATGGAAAAAGGCAGTCTTTCCTCTAACCTCTGAGAAGCTCTGGTGTATATCCCCAAAAGAAAGACTCAGGGAAGGGGGATGGCTGGAGGGAGGCAAAGGGCCCAGTTTTCTACTGAAACTCCTGGGAGCAAGATCCCAGACCCTCTGAAAGAGTTCAGCTCTTTAGTGCACGCAGTCCCCAGTTCTGCTCCTTCTAGCAGCAAAAGCCAGCCAAGCTCATGAAAGAGGACAGGCCCAGACTGGCAGAGGAGGCGAAGAGGCCGTCCAACCGGCTCGCCTGCAGATCTGGAGTCAGACGCTCAGGCTTCAAGTTCTCTCGCCAGCGCCAGATTCCCAGCCTGTGCCCGGCAAGAACCGGCCGGCTAACCCTGCCACTCTTGAAGAGGCAGTACCGGGAGCGGAGAGGCTCGGACCAGGACCCCAGCTAGGCGGAAGGAGCGCACTCCCTCCCACGGGAAAGACAGATGTGGGGCTAATGAAAGGGAGGCAGAGAGAGGCGCGGGACTGGCGGGATAGAGCGGGGGCGTGGCGGGGAGAGAGCGGGAAGCGCCCAAAAGCGAGCGGACCAGACCACCCCGGAGGTCCAGAGGAAGAGGCGACAAGGAGAGAGGCCAGGCTGGGACTTGCAGCTTGGCCCGAGGGTCCCAGCTGAAACTCAACACCGCCCTTGGAAGGATCGTCCCCTTTTCTCCTCCGCCCCTTCCCTTCCCCTCCCCTCCCTTTTCCCCTCCCTCCTTTCTCTTAATCCCCAGAACTAAGCCCCGCGCCGGAGAGGAGAGGGCCCGAAGGGAGGAGGAAGAGCTGCACAGAGAGGGAGCCGGGAGCCCGGGAAAAGGGGAGGGAAGGGGAGCCGCGTGTGAGGGGTGAGCCTAGGGGACACGCGCCACCCCCCGGACCCTTCCCAGCCCTTTGAGTGTTCCCACCCCCAGGCGTGTCCCCAGGACCCCAGCCCCTGCTCCTTCCTCTCCTCTTTGCTCCTTTTGCTTTGGTGGCCTTTCTTTTCCGTCCCAAAGACAACCAGGAGGTGCCTTAGGCTTTCTTTGGGGTGCGCCGAGGGGCCCTTACGTAGGGGCGCGTGTGAGCGGGGCCGAGAGGGCCAGGGGGCCGAGGTTGGGGGCGGTAGCTTGTGGCCTGGCGGCGTGAGACCGAGAGGTGGGGGGGGCGAGCCCCCCAACTGCCTGGACTCCGGCAGCGCGCGGGCCAGGCCGTCCCGCCTCTTCGAGTGGTGGCTGCGTGCAGGCCGGGCTGTCCCCGAAGAGGCGCGCTCGCGGGGTCTCCAGTCCCAGGGCGGGCGAGGGTCTGTCGGTCCAGAAAGCTGCGGCCCAGCAGCCTAGCCCCACGGCAACGCTTCTCGGAGGCCTTGGGCGCCAGCCTGGCCTCCTTTGGCCAACTCGGGCGAGCGTGAAGAGGCACAAACCGCCCCGTCCTGGCTCTTCCTACCTCCCAGCAGGTCCTGCCGCAGTGCCCTGGGCCGTCGTGGCGACAAGCACAGCCCAGGGAGCGGGGCTCCCAGGCGCGGCCCGCGGGAGGGGAGGGTTGGCCCCTGAACTCGCTCGTCCGGCCCAACCGCCCCGGCGGCTTCTCCCAGCCCTCGGGGCCGTCCTGAGCGGCCTGGAGAGGCGTCGAGGGCGGCCCCAGCCCCCCGCCTCCCCGCCCGCACCTGCCTTGGAAGGGAGCCTTCGGCCCATGCGAGCCCAGGAGGCCTCTGCGGCCTAGGGCAGGCAGCTCCCGGGGCCTGGCCCACCCGGCGGCCCCCGGGAGGCCGTGGGGACAGTACGGAGCGCGCGCCCCTTGGATGAGATCCCGCAGCGACGCCCTGGCCCGCCCTGCTCCTCCTCCTGCTTGGCCAAGCTGCCTCCCATTTGGGACGTTTTGTAGATTTTCTTTCTCCTTCTCCAACGTCGGTGGAGGCCACCGCTCAAGCACCACAGCGTGGGGCAGCCTCCGTGCTTGGAGGTCGCGAACCATGGTGCAAGGCAGCCACCGCTGAAGTCAGCGAAACCGAGCCTGGTCTAAGGCAGGCAGCGCTGGAGGCCAAGGCCATGGCCATTGCCACGTCGGTGAGTCCACCAAGGAAAGGAGACTGACTGCCTGGCAGACCTCTAGCCTGCCCTGCGCTCCTGTCGCTTTTAGTTCTGTTCTCTCTTTGTCTCTCTCCCCTGTATCCCTTTCTTCTGGAAGACTCTGTGTCGTCTCACTTTTGTCTCCCTTCTCCCTCTCCTTATCCCTCTGCTCCTCCTGGTCCCGGGTTCGCTCCTCCTTCCCTCCCCCTCCCCATTCTCTTTCTAGAGGCTGCGGCTGGATGGAGGGGAGGGGGCAAGTGTAACCCCAGTCCTATCTGCTCTTTTCTGGGCGGGAACAGATGGCCACTGGTGGTTGGCAGGGGCCTGTGATTGAGAAGCAAGTAAAAGGGGCTGAAAAGACTTAGTGGCTCAAGAAAAATAGGAGGCCCATCTCTAGAGGGGGAATGGAGGAAAGGAGGTAAATACAGCAAAAGAGGGTGATTAGGCAGAGAAAATCATACAGATGGAAGATGGGAGATGATGTCAGCCTGCCTTAGGCCACTTTCTGGGGACAAAGGGAGGAGACAGCTGGCATGGGACAGTGGGAGGAGGCCTCCCCCATTAAGCCAGCCATTCCCTCACAAGTCAGCTGGGCCCCTAGGAGGAGATAGAACAGGGGTGGTCACACCCATCATCGATCATTCATTCTATCAGCAACTCTGGCTCGAGTTCTGGCAACTGCAAGGCCCAGAAGTTTGGCTCCATTGGACAGATTTCAAACCTAACTCAGGGAGGAGCACTCCACAGTCCCACCTCTTCTTTCTGTCCTGCACTCTGTGGTAGTCTGAATCTAGACAACTCCATGCCTTTCCAAACTTCCCTAGCTCCTGCCTGGAATTTGCAGGGAAGCCAGGCTGTCACCTGCTTTCTGGCCCCCTCTGAATGAAAACTCTGGGGAGGAGAATTGTGGGATTGAAAAGAGAAGCATGGAGCCACCTGACACCCTCCTGTTTGCCTTGAGGACTGGTTCAATTTTGGGTCCTTCTCAGGCCAACCTCCTTAGATCCTCAGTGTTGTGAAGACGCTAATCCAGGGCTAGAAAAGGGGGAGGTCCTCTCTGGTGGTGCTAATCCAGGGCTAGAAAAGGGGAAGGTCCTCTGGTGGTGCGGTGCCCCTAGGAATACTCAGGAGCCTGCAGGTCACTGTCAGCAGGGGGTCGTCCCAGGAAGAAGATTTTCCTTTTTTTGGGGAGAGGGATATTTATGCTAATCAAACTCACAGGATCCTAATAACACTAATATTTATTAAGCATTTACTATACCTGGCCCTGTAATAAGCTTTGTCATGGCTTTTTTATGCAGCCCTCATAACAGCTTTGTGAGAACACTGTTGTTACTAGCCAAAAATGGTTATTCAGCTACCAATATGGAATATTACAGAGGAGGAAACCAAGGCTCATAAAGGTCAAACAACCTGCCCCAAGACACCCAGCAAGCAAAGGACAGAGTCAGAACTCAACCCCAGGTCTATCTGCCTCTAGATCCAAAACACTAATTTGTAAGTTACAATTAGAAAGAAAAGTGCAGAGCCAACCAGGACTTTGTGTTTCTGGGTTAGCATGTTTTCTTTCTGTTGGATAATTTCCTTTATGATCACAATATATTCAAAAAGTGATTCAATAAGGTCTGGGATGCAGCTCCATGGTAGAGTACTTGCTTAGCATAATCAAGCTCTGGGTTTGAGCCCCAGCACGAAAGAGAGAGAGAGAGAGAGAGAAGGAAGGAAGGAAGGAAGGAAATTAGTTTGATGAGTTTGCAATCCAGAGAGAGGCGGAGTTGTTAAAATCACCCAGCCATTAAAAAGCTGCAAACAGCAGCCAAGAGGAACACTCCTGCTGACTGAGCAGAGCATCCTTCTGGTGGCAGCCTGCTGAGTGTTTAGCTTGAGATTTTTTACTGAATTAGTCCACATGGTTACCTGGCCAGCAGCGCCTAACTAGCTGCTCTCCATTACTGCTATATAAGTCACCACTGCCTGGAATCCTTCCGGCAGGCACAGCCATTTAACAGTCACAACTGAAGCTGAATGCGCTTTGACATTTTTATCCTACCAAAGGATATCATAGAACAAGAGCACAATGAAGAGTTATAGCAGAGGGAAATTGGGTATAGGAAGCCTTCGTATGTACTTTACTCACCTTTGAGTCATAGATCCTCTCGACTCCATCACTGTTGAAAGGAAGAAAGAAAGGTAGATCCACATATTGCAATTGTGGAAAAGTAATAGAGCATGTGATTGAGAGAGCATAGGCCCTGGATTCAAATCATACCCCACCAGCTGTACCAGCTACATGTCATTGGGCAAAGCGCTAACCTCTCTGTTCCAGTTTCCTTTCCAAAATGGAGATAAATGAGTCTCCTCCCTCATAAGGTTGTTGTGAGAATTAGATTATAAATGTAAAAACTTGAGCATTCATGAATGCCATTTGTACTTGGTATCTGTGACCTATTAGCTGAGCCATCAATGGAAAAAGCTTAGGTGCCTGCTGGGTGTCAGTAGCTCACGCCTGTAATCCTAGCTGATCAGGAGGCAGAGATCAGGAGGATCATGTATTAAAACCAGTCCTGGGCAAATAATTCAAGAGATCCTATCTTGAAAAAGAAAAGGGCTGGTGCTGTGACTCAAGTGGTAAGCGTACCTGCCTAGCAAGAGTGAGGCCCTGAGTTCAAACCCCAGTGCCACCAAAAAAAAAAAAAAAATCTTAGGTACTGAAAAGAGGCTAAAAACTGGTCTGCCAGCCCCCTCTGTACATACACACTACAGCGTATATACTTTTCTCTATGGAAACCTCAGCCTCTTCTGGTAGAACCCTATTTGTTCAGGCTGAGAACAAAACGATGGTTTCAGTTGTTTTCTTTCTTATTATGCTCTGTCTAGACGAGGCTTCTACCAGGCTGCCTTGGAATGAGGGGTCTCTGCAGCTGCTTAATCTAACATTTTGCTTGTGAAGCAATGACTGGGGAACCGCAGGAAAGTAGAGGAAATTCTGTGGGAGACCTTAGCAAGACCTTTTCATGTACTTTGGAAAAAATGTATTCAGCAAATTCGTATAGAGGACCAGATCTGAGTGAGATCCTATTGCAGGGGTGACAGGGATAGAACCGTGTCTGTTTTTAATAAGGCTTACAATATAAGAGAAGAAATCAGTAATTAAAAAAAAAAGTGTCATGAAGGAAATGATGGGTAGACACAGGCACAGAGAATGCAGTAGGGTAGGGAAAAGTGAAGAAAAAACCTTTTTTTTTTTTTTGAGGTACTAAGGTTTGAACTCAGGGCCTAGACCTTGAGCCACTTCACCAGCCCTTTTGTGTGTGTGTGTGTGTGTGTGATGGGTTTTTTCGAGATAGGATTTCTCAGACTATTTGCCCGGTTTGGCTTCAAACTGCAATCCTCCTAATCTGTGCTTCCTGAGTAGTTAAGATTACAGGCATGAGCCACTGGTGCCCAGCTAAGAAAAGACCTCTTTGAGGAGGAGAAATTTTAGCAGAACTGAAGGATGGAGTCAGAGGAAGAGCATTCCAGGTAGAGAAAACAAGTACAAGGCTCCAAGGCAGGAAAGAGCTAGCTCAGGGATTGGAAAGGAAGAGGACAGTGCTGGCTATGAAGCTGGAGGCAAGCTGGTGCCAACCAGGAGCCCCCTGAGTCAGGAGTGAGAATTTTAGCTTAAAGGGAATGGGAAGCTCCAAAGAGTCTAGATATGACCAGATGTGTGTGTGTGTGTGCACACGTGTGTGTAAAGATCCCTGTCCTTACTCCCACCTCACCCACCAGGCCCAGCTGGCCCGGGCACTGTACGACAACACAGCTGAGTCCCCCCAGGAACTGTCCTTCCGCCGAGGGGATGTCCTACGGGTACTGCAGAGGGAGGGCGCTGATGGACTGGACGGTTGGTGCCTGTGCTCCCTGCATGGCCAGCAGGGTATTGTACCTGCCAACAGAGTGAAACTCCTTCCTGACGGCCCAGCACCAAAACCTAGCCTTTCCCCAGCATCTCCCACCCAGCCTGGCTCATCATGTCCAGCTTCAGAGCACAGCAATGAGGAGCAGGAGGTAAGAGTTAGAGCCTCTCTTCCAGGAGAGCCTGTGCCCTTTCTCTAGGGCCTGCCACCAGATGGGCAGAAAGAGCCCAAGACCACAACTCTTTTCACTGACTTTTCCTGTCTGCCAGTGCTTTCTGAGCTCTGTGTTTCTGTCAACATGGGGAAAGGGTGTCTAAGTTCCTTCAAGTCACACATCTGGCTCACTGACTCCCACTCCTCCTGCAAAACAACCTGTCTTAATCTCCAGGTGTATGTGGTACCACCCCCAGCTCGGCCCTGTCCTGCTTCAGGACCTCCAGCTAGACCCTGCTCACCCTCACCTGACCCCATCTACAAGGTCCCCAGAGGCAGTGGGACCCAGCCGGCCTCCCCTGGAGAAATCTTGGAGGTGAGGGCTAGAGGTCTGTGTGTATGTCAGGTGAGGGACATACATATGTCATACATATGTCATACATACATATGTCAGGGAGGGTCCACAGCTGAGCTGAAGGCTAACTCACCAATCCCGCCCTCCAGGTCTACGACGTGCCCCACACTGCTCTCGGGGTTCCCTCCAGCGGCCCCTATGACTCCCCAGCCTCCTTTTCCCGCCCTCGGGCTTGGGTTGCCCTACAGCCTCCTGGAGAGGATGAAGCTCCCTATGACGTGCCTCTGGCCCCAAAATCACCTACAGAGCCAGAGCCAGACCTGGAGTGGGAAGGGGGCCGGGAACCAGGACCTCCCCTCTATTCTGCCCCTTCCAACCTGAAACGGGCCTCAGCTCTCCTCAACCTGTATGAAGCGCCTGAGGAACTACTGGCAAATGGGGAAAGCGGGGACGCTGATGAGGACATCTATGATGTGCCCCTGCTGGGGCCAGAGGCACCCCCTTCTCCAGAGCCCCCAGGAGCCTCAGCCTCCAATGACATGGACACCCTTGCCCAGCTTCTGGCCAGAAGTCCCCCACCCCCCCTCAGACCACGGCTGCCCTCTGCAGAGAGCCTGTCCCGACGTCCTCTGCCTGCACTGCCTGTCCTTGAGGCTCCTAGCCCTTCTCCAGCTCCCTCTCCTGCCCCATGCCGCAAGGGCAGTATCCAGGACCGGCCTCTGCCTCCACCCCCACCCTGCCTTCCTGGCTATGGGGGTCCCAAAGTTGAAGGGGATCCAGAGGGCAGGGAGGTGGAAGATGATTCAGCAGGACCCCACAACGAGTATGAAGGCATCCCTGTGGCCGAGGAATATGACTACGTCCACTTGAAGGTAAGCTCCTCCCAGGCTAGAAGGGCCCCAGGAGAACCAGCAGGAGGATGTGGAGGCCTAGGGCTCAGAGGCATAGCCTCTGCCTCACCTTCCCCTCTCCCCTGGCCCTCCACCCTATGGCCTGGTTCCCAGTGCTTGTCTAAGCCATTTGAACTAACGTCACACTCAGCCCTAAACCATACTGAGGCAACCAGAGCTCTCACACTGCAAACAAGGGACTGCTACCTCTAATGACAGGGAAGGGGTCACCGTCCTACTCCCTCAGCCCTGCACTGAGACCTGATCTCCTCTGCAGGGCGTGGATAAGGCTCAGGGATCTAGGCCCCCAGATAAAGCCTTCCCAGGAGACCCGAAACTGCTGGAGAGGGGTTTGCCGGAGCAACAGGTAACCCTGGTGGGTTGTGCTAGAGAAGGGAGGCTGGGGAAGGAGGGATGGAACTTGGGGGGAGGAGTATTCTTAACCAAACCATGGAGGGAAACAGATGAGGATGGGGCTAAGAACGCGTGAAGCAGGGACAGAGTAAAAAGGAGTCAGGATTCAGTGGGAAGATGCTAGAACATGGGAGAGGATATTAGGAATTCAGAAGGGGAAAGAATGTGTTGGAGAAGAGTAGGAAGCCAGGCAGCCAGGGGGACAGAGTTTCTGGGCTGTGGGTCAGAGTGGGGCCATGTGACTTCTAAGGCTCTTTCCTCCTGTGAATTCCTGGGTTCCTAAGAGACCTGGCTCCTAATCCCAGCTCCACCATTCTGAAACCAGGGGCTCCAAAGCTCAGTTAATCTCTCTGAGCCTCAAGAAATGAGGTAATTTCTCCAACCCAGTCCAGCATGAACATAATACAACCGCTACCATTTGTCAGGTATTTACCACATGCCAGACCCTGCACTGGGTACACTGTGTGCACCAGCATAAATCACAATCATCGTTAATGCTCAGACTGCTTACATTGTATATAGGGTACTGTGCTAAGCCCTTTCCATATATTATCTCAATTAAATGTTCACTGCCACCTTGTGAGGTACATGCGATCCAATACAGTGACCACCTGGGCTCCTGAACACTTCACATGACTAGCCTGAATTGAGATGTGCTGTAAATGTAAAATGCGTAGTAGATTTTGCAGATTGAGTTATGAGTTATGAAAATAACTCAAATCATTTTCATATTGATTGATGGGAACTATAACATTTTTTATATTTGGAGTTAGATAAAATATACTAGCTTCTTTTTACTTTTCTTACAGTGGCTACTAAAATATTTTAAATTTCATGTGTGGTTTGCATTAGGTTTATACTAAGCTCCTTGAGGCTCTTCATTGTTGCTCCTTTTTTTGTTTTTGGTTTTGTGGTACTAGAGATGAAACCCTGGGCCTCATGCATACTAGGCAAATGCTGTACCACTGAGCCACATTCCCAGCTCTAGACTCTTGTGTTTTTGAAATAAGAAACAAAAGATGTTCAGAGATTTCCAACTTAAGCTGAAATCCAGCTTGAGGTTATTTGATCCCTCATCTACCCAGAATCACGTCTGGAGGTTTTCTGAGCTCAGATCTATCCAGCATCAAGTCTGGGCACTTTACTGCCACTCTCTCTAAGAATCTAAATTTTCTGATGGGCAGAGGTCAGAGCTGAAGGGATTGCACTCAGGAAGAAAGGAAGGAAGAAAAAAGGGAGGTATGGAGAAAGACGTAAAGGGGAAAGTGGCACTGATGATCGTGTTCTCACTGACCCTTCTCTTACCCCTCAGGAGACCCTGTCCCCAGGGGAGCCATTGGTTCTGTCCACTGGAGACTTACAGCTCCTGCACTTCTATTCAGGGCAGTGCCAGAGCCACTACTCAGCACTGCAGGCTGCTGTGGCTGCCCTCATGTCCAGCACCCAAGCCAGCCAGCCCCCGTGCCTCTTTGTGCCCCACAGCAAGCGGGTGGTGGTGGCTGCTCATCGCCTAGTATTTGTTGGAGACACCCTGGGTCGGCTGGCAGTCTCTGCCCCTCTACGAGCACAGGTTGGGGCTGCAGGTACAGCACTGGGCCAAGCCTTGCGGGCCACTGTGCTGGCTGTCAAGGGGGCCGCCCTGGGCTACCCATCTGGCCCTGCAGCCCAGGAGATGACCCGATGTGTGGCAGAACTGGCAGGGCAGGCCCTACAATTCACCACCCTGCTGACTAGCCTGACCCCTAAGGGTTCATTGGCATAGCCCTGCTCCTCCCCTGCCTGGCAGAGCCCCCCTCCAGGTCTTGGGTGACTGAATGGCTCTGTTTTGGTGAGGAGAAGGTGTCTTTCCCCTTTCCTACCCCTTCTACTCATCTCAGCCTCTCACAAAGGCATCTCTCCCAACCCACCACTTTTTTGTATAAGCCATTTTATATAAATTATTTATATTTAATATTCCCTACTCTGTCAGGGGCGGGTATCAGGCCCTCTGAGGTAGAGTAGAACTGTACTTCTCTCCAGCCGGGAGTGGAGGTTGCTGCACTGCCTTCTGCCTCTGGAAGTATGGTACACAGAGAATCGGTGACAGAAATGTGAGGCCACACAGAACCTTTTTTCCTATTTCTTGACTCCAGAACATCAGTGCTCACTGTCAGCTGAGAGTAAGGGCAGGACACTGCCTAGAATGTGAAGTGTGGGAGGCCTCAGAGGCCCCCCTCTCAAAAGGTGGGAGAGCTGGGTCTCGGGCAGGGGTATACACCTCAATAAACTGTGGTCTGGTTTCCTGACTCTGCTTCTTGGGAACCTGGGGGCCTGGCCTGTGGGACACACACTAGGAAGGGAAATTTTGTTCCTTCAACTATTTCCTGGACAGGTTCTGAGCTCCTGAGATGGGCCAGGCAGAGTTCTAAAGCACACAGTAAATATGTTCTAGTGACAGTGGAATGGATATCAAGTCTATTTCAAAAAGTGCATAAAAAAATAAACCTGGAGAGTTGTTGATGATGGAAATCAACATAGTGATATGAAGAGAAAGGCTACATGAGGGAAGCCAAAAGTGAAGAAGACATTAGCCAGGTTGGAAAGTGACCTGACATACAATGAGAGAACCAGAAAGAGTTTGGGATTAATTTTCCCAGACATCGCAAACCTGGAGGCCTTCCTTCAAGACTTAATTGTCACAGTTTTAATTGGGTGCAGGTGTGGAGACAGTTTGGCCACAGCAGAGCCTCTTTATGGCTGAATGGCTCCAGTGGTAGAGTGCCTGCCTAGCAAGTACAAAACCTTGGGTTTAAATACCAGTACTGCCAAAAAAAAAAAAAACCCTCTAGAAGTCACCTCAGCTGGAGAACTATCCAGTTCTTTGCACCACAATCCAGCTAAAGCCAACTGGAAGCCTCTGCTGGCTAAACTGGCACCCTCTTCCTTAGGTGACTCCAAGAGAATCCAGCCCCTTACTCACTTCCAGACTTCCTACTAATCACCCTTCCAGGCAAACCATCTTTTAGAATAGCCGAGGTGACAGGAATATAGTAGGTTGAATGTCCATGGTGCACAGGACCTTAGTGAAACAGAGCCCATGGCTTCTATGAGGGATCACTCCAGCCATTTACCACAGGGAAGAGGTCTAAGCCACAGACCCAATGCTTTAGTTTTGCTTTCCCAAGAGCCTGTCATGGCAGCTCAATGAGGGAACCTCAATTTCAGTCATAATCTCAGCATCTTGACTCTCAAGGGGAATTTTTCTATATTCTGGGACCAACAAAATTCTCTGCATCAAAGGCCATCTCCCATCTTCCAGACAGAATTTTCAGAGATGAGCCTGAAGTTGGAATCAGAGGTTTCAGTTCAAGCCTCAGATCTGCCGTGGACTTGTGTGTCTGTGGGTAAATCATGCCAGTTCCTCTGAGTCAGTTTCAGCTCATTGTGAAGATGATCATTCTTACAACCATTCTTTACAAGACTGTTAGGAGGACCTAACAAAAAGGTGCACGTGAACAGCACAGCACCACATAAAGTTAAGGGATTATCCCAAGATGAACAAAAGGATGCAGTCAAACCCCCAAGTAATGTTAACTGTTACAGCATGGCAGTAATTCTGGAAGCAATGCTAACAGGAGATGGAGAAGGGGAGACTGCAGGAGGCTACTTGATACGTTAGAGAAGAAGGGTTTCCTATATTTGGAAATTTTCTGAACAGTTGAGGAAAAGGGGAAAGATTTCCTATCTGAGATTTGACAGGACAATCCTTTTCAGCCTTTACCTGGGATTTGAGAAAAAAGTACCTGTCAAGTATCCAATCTCAAAGAAATGCATCTCTAACCTGAATGTATATACACCTGGGGCTCTAGTTAAAGGTTCTTGTTCGCTGGGTGCTAGTGGCTCACTGCTGTAATCCTAGCTACTCAGGAAGCAAAGATCAGGAGGACCACTGTTCAAAGCAGCCGGGGCAAACAGTTTGAGAGACCCAATATGGAAAAAAACCTATCGCAAAAAAAGGGTTGATGGAGTGGTTCAAGGTGTAGGCTCTGAGTTCAAACCCCAGTATTGCAAAAAAAAAAAAATTACGGTTCAAGGGCCTGGGTCAGGCCAAGACTGCATTTCTAACAAGCTTCCAAGTGATGTGGATACTGCTAGTCCATCAACCACACTGATTAGCAATTCAAAGGGTTAGGGATGTCTTCTCTAAGGCAAAGATGCTTGAGCTGACAGTTGAAGGATGAGGAAAACTGGACTAAGAAGTCTAGGCATATGAACCAGTTTGTGCAAAAACCCTGTGGCACTGGAATTGCTGAAAGAAGGCCAGGTGGCTGAAGTAGTTTGAGGAAAGAAGTGAAATGGAGCTGAAGACAGCATGTGACTTGACATTCAGGACCATATGTAAGGTGTGTAGAATATTTGCCCTGATGGTAAGAAGAAGGCATTGAAAGCAGTTAAGCAGGATAGAGACACAGTCAGACCTGCATTTTGAAAAGATCATTCTTCTGCACCATAAATTAACAGATGGGGAGGAGATAGAAACAAAGTGGATGCAGAACACGAGTTGGGAATTCAGAGGTTACCGAAGTCTATGCATGTGGTAGAGAAGGAGAGAAGCAGTATGTAAAATGGTCAAGATTTTATAAGGGATTCCACATGAGCTAAAGAAAGGGAGTTCCAAGGGTTGTCACCTGAGCCTCTAACCACAGTTGGATGATGAAGGAGGAAGTGTTAGAAGTCAAGACAATCAACTTATGGAGGGGAAGAACATGAGTCTGGTCTTGGTCGTACTGAGTTTGAGGTCCCTGTGAGACATCCAACATACGTGGAATAAAAAGGCTGCTTCGAAGATCTATGGCTCAGATGAGATGTGGGAAGTGGAGATGTAGATCTGGTAAATAGGTGTGCTCTATTTGTGTTGAAGGTGACTGAGTTCTGGGCATGGGTGAGATCACAGGAACAATAGTGTGAGATGAGAGGAGGGCCTAGGACCAAGTCTGAGGATTGCAGGCACAGTGATGGTGAGGAAGAGTAGGCTGTGCCCACAATGGAGAAGAGGAGCAGGAGAAATTAAAGCAAGGGAATGTGGAGTTAGCAGCCAAAGAAGAAAGAGTTTAGGAGACAACCAACAGGGCCAAATGCTGTTGAAAAATGATGGGAGATTCAATAGGTTGGGTGTGATGAAACCTGGAGATGAAACCTTGTAGAGGGCTGAAGCTAGAGAGCTGAGCCTGGTGCCACCCCAGTCCTCTATATGCACAAGACATATTGCAATTATGGGGTTCATATGTCTGCTTCTCCCCAAGGAACCTCCTTCAAGGCAGTCTATCCACACCTGTTATCCCCAAAGCCTAGCATAAGGCCTGAAACACAGTAGGCACTTAATAAATTCTACTAATAAATGAATGTGGATGGATGGATGATGGAGAAGAACTGGAAGCGAAGGAGGTATCTGTGGCATTTGCCTAGGCTACCTACTACCCTTCAGCCTTTTTTCCTTTTACCGCAATGGCTCGCAGACCCAGGGACCAGACGACAGAGCCCCCAGCCCCTCCTTCCCCTGGGCCCTGGCCCCCCCTTTCCTCTTTCTGACGAAGAGTCTGGACCGAAGGCTCTGCTGACGTGGGAAGGGGAGGAGAATCTGGAGGAAGGGGAGGGGAAAGCTGCGCAGAGATCGAGATCGCAGAGACCGAGGAGGCGCCCGCCGCTGCAGAGCTGCAGAGCGGGGTCTCTTCGGGCTCTCAGTGTCCCAGCACCTGGCGCGCAGCTGGGCCAGAGAACCACACATTGTTTCATCGCAAGCCAGCAGGACCCCTGCAGCAGGCAAGCTGGCTCCCCGGGTGGCCACCGGGACCCCCGAGCCCAATGGCGGGGGCGGCAACAAAATCGACAACACCGTAGAGATCACCTCCAGCTCCAACGGAGTAAGTGCCCGCACCCCAGGGGGCTACACCATCCTCTCCCCGCACCCCCGCCCCCGCGAGCGCCGGGCATTTTCCTCCCGCGCAGCCCTGCCTGCCTGCCTTGCCCTTGCTCCCGCCCGCTCCCTCCCCTTGCTCTGCAGCTTTCTCCGCTTCATCCTTCTACGCCTCCCCCCCTCCCCCTCCCACAGCAGGTCGGGACCCTCGGAGATGCGGTGCCCACCGAGCAGATTCAGGGTGAGCGCGAGCGCCAGCGGGAGGGGGAGGGAGACGCGGGTGGCGACAGGCTGGGCAGCAGCCTGTCGCTGGCCGTGCCCCCTGGCCCCCTCAGCTTTGAGGCGCTGCTCGCCCAAGTGGGGGCGCTGGGCGGCGGCCAGCAGCTGCAGCTGGGCCTCTGCTGCCTGCCTGTGCTCTTCGTGGCACTGGGTATGGCCTCGGATCCCATCTTCACTCTGGCGCCCCCACTGCATTGCCACTACGGGGGCTTCCCCCCCAATGCCTCTGGCTGGGAGCAGCCCCCCAATGCCAGCGGCGTCAGCGTTGGCAGCACGGCGCTAGCAGCCAGCGCCGCCAGCCGCGTAGCCACCAGTACCGACCCCTCGTGCAGCGGCTTCGCCCCGCCAGACTTCAACCATTGCCTCAAGGACTGGGATTATAATGGCCTGCCGGTGCTCACCACCAACGCCATCGGCCAGGTGAGGCTGCCCCGAGGGCCGCGGGTCTGGGAGCGGGCTGAGCGTGGCGAGGGCGGGGCCTCACGCCCGCTGCACCCTTCTCACGTCCCCAGTGGGATCTGGTGTGTGACCTGGGCTGGCAGGTGATCCTGGAGCAGATCCTCTTCATCTTGGGCTTTGCCTCCGGCTACCTGTTCCTGGGTTACCCCGCAGACAGGTGAGGGCTGTCGTGGGGGCAGGGCTGGTAGAGAGGAGGGGGTGCTAAGGAAGCTAGCCCAGGCAACTGGCTTTTGCAAGAGGTCAAGAACCACTAGCTGGACTCTGCAGTCTTCTCTGGACCTGTCTCAACTTCACTCCCCATCAAGAAATACATCTTCCATTCCATTCAAAGGAATGACCTCACATCCATGGACTGTTAGCTCCATTCCCACTGATCAGTAGCCCCATATCTATTGTCAGTGGCCTCATTTCCAAGACAATGGTCCTTGAGTTCAAACCCCAGCACCACCAAAAAAATAAAACCCAAACAAACACAATAGCATCAACAAAGATAATGGTTCTGATCCCTAACCCAAAACCCTATCTTGCCAGATCAAAAGTCTTCTTTTCTTTACCCCCATCACCAAATCCACCTCCCTTACCATCTTTATGGATTAGCAGATTCATCCCCACTGGTTCATAGCCTGCCTGGACTGTTAGCTCCATCTCAAAGGCCTCATTCCTGAAGATCAACAGTCCCGTTGCCACTGGCCAGTAGTTCAACTTTACAAACAAATGACCCGGCCTCTGACCAGTGGCCCCTCTGCCAAGAATTGATAACTATCCTCAAAGAACAGTACCCTCAGCTGCAATCACCCATAGTCCTTCCACCAAATTATTCCACCCCTATGAATCATTGACCCCAAGAGCACCCCTCATAGATTGGTGCTCCCATCTTCATGAATCCCCAGGTCTTTAAAGTCCTCTTAGATCAAAATCCCCATTTCTACAAATCATTGACCTCCCCTCCAAAAAGCAGTAGCCCATCCCCACTAACCAATAACTTCCCATGTATAAAAATTCACAGCCTAGTGCTGGTGGCTCACACCTATAATCCTAGCTACTTAGGAGGCAGAGATCAGGAGGATTGCGGTTCAAAGCCAGCCTGGGCAAATAGTTCAGTAGACCCTATCCTGAAAATACCCAACACAAAACAGGGCTGGTGGAGTGGCTCAAGTGGTAGAGCACCTGCCTAGCATGAGCCCTGAGTTCAAACCCCATTTCCACCAAAAAGAAGAAAAGATTCCCATCCTCTGTTTCTGGACATCATTACCTCACCACTGACCAGGTGCTCCAAGTGCACTCACAATCCCATCCCTGTGATTACTCACTGGCAGTGGTCTACAGTCCCATCTAGATGGAGTTTAATAGCTCAGCTTCGGTGGATCAAAGGCATCCCCAACGTTCAGTAGTCTGGTTCCTTAAAATCACTAGGCATCCTCATTACCCTGTATTCAATGATCCTAAAACCACAGGTTGTGTAATGCATCCCCATGCATTGGTGGCCTCATGTCCACAGGCCAGTTTTTCCTATGGGGAAATAACCTCATTCCAAAAGATCAATAATTGAGCCTCCTAAAATGAGAAGCCTTAGCCATGTTAACCAGTAAGTCCATCATCATGAAAAATGGCCCCAACCCATTGTGTTAATAGCTGAGATCAGTGAACAGTCCCCCAAAACTTCATCTCCCATAGATCTGTAATCTTATCCCCATAAATCAATGCCCCCCAAGGATCACTAGCCCTGTCCTCACTGATTTGTCAGTGACTATCATCACTTACCAATAGTCTCATCTCCCCTGGTCCCCATGGATTAATAGATTTGTCCCACTGACAAGTCATTGACTTGGACTAAGATCCTCACTCCATGAACCAATGGCTTCATCCCAATGGGTACCCAGGAGTTTACACCTATAATCCTAGCTACTTGGGAGGATGAGATCAGGAAGATCACTGTTTGAGGCCAGCCCAGGCAAATAGTTTGCGAGACCAAACCATCTCCAAAATAATCAGAGCAAAAAATAGACTGAAGGTGTGGCTAAAGCAGTAGAGCGCCTGCTTTGCAAGCACAAAGCCCTGAGTTCAAACCCCAGTCCCACAAAAAACAACAACAAAACCAGTGACTTCATCCCTGAAGACCATTTCTCCAAAGGTTAGTCCCATCCTCACTGATCAATAATCCCACCCACCATGGATTAATGGACCCATTCCCATGAGTCAATAATATCCTGGCCAATAGCCCATCCCGCTGACCACATTTTTGTTGTTTTTCTAAGGGGGGGTTTGAGAGGAGTTGGCAATACTGGGGTTTGAACTCAGGGCCTCATGCTTGCTAGGCAAGTACTCTACCACTTGAGCCACTCCACCAACCCTTTTTTGTGTTGGGTATTTTGGAGATAGGGTACTATTTGCCCAGGCTGGGCTTAAACCTTGATCCTCCTGATCTCTGCCTCCCAAGGATTACAGGCGTGAGCCACCAGTGCCTGGCCCCACTGCCCACTCTTATGTATTAGTAGACCCGTGGCCCAACTAAATGGAGCAATGGCTTCATCTCCCAAAATACTCAGTCCCCTAAGATGCGTAGCTCTACCTTCACTGACGAATACTGTCCCCATACACAGTGTATACAGATCAGGCACTCCATCTAATCCTGTGTATTAATGACCCCCATCTTCTCTGACTAGTCTGAGCAAGACAAACTCCATTCCCACTGACCAATGGCTCTGTCTCCAAGGATCCATGGTCCCCTATCCCCTAAGCAGTAGCCCATTTCCCTGATGGGTGGTCTCACATCCATGGCTAGATGCCCTAATCCCTTATCCATAGCCCTGTCCCCAAGAGTCATTGGCCCCCCTCCCATAGAACCATAGTCACACCCTAGAGCCCAGTAGCCAGACACCCCCTGCTCAGTCCCCATTCCTGCCCATCTTTCCTAGCTTCAGCCCAACTCTTGCTTCCAGACCCTCATCCTTACACTTCCAGGTTTGAAGTGGGCAGCTAGGCCTCCTCACCCAGCACCTCTATACCCAGGGAGTCTAGGTGACCAGAAGCCCTCTCCACTTTCCAGGTTTGGCCGTCGTGGGATTGTGCTGCTGACCTTGGGGCTGGTGGGCCCCTGTGGAGTGGGAGGAGCTGCTGCAGGCTCCTCCACAGGCGTCATGGCCCTCCGATTCCTCCTGGGTTTTCTGCTTGCTGGTGTGGATCTGGGTGTCTACCTGATGCGTGAGTGGCTTCCTGCAGAGTTCCCTGCCTCAGGTCTCACCCTGGCCTTTCTGCATCTCCATCAATTCCCACTGCTTCTCCCCCAGGGTCCCTTCAGCAGTCTAGATTGCAATTGTCTTTCTGCCTAGGCCCTTAAGAATCCGGGGGTCCTCCTTCTCTCCATACCTGCCCCCCTCCCACCTTTAAAGTCTTGGCCTGGGCTTATTGCTGTCAGGGAATGCAAACTTATTTTAAAAATGAAATCCTGGGCTGGGGGCATGGCTCAAGTGGACCTAGCAATTGCCAGGCCCTGAGTTCAAACTCCAGTCTCCAAGAAAGAAAAAAAGAAGTCCTCTAAGAAAGAAAGAATTTCACACCTGTAATCCCACACTTAAGAGGCTGAGGCAGAAGGTTCTTAAGTTCAAGGCCAGCCTGAGCTGGGCTACATAGGGAGCCCCACTCTCAACAATTCCCACCCCATGGAAATCCTGATGAGCCATGTGACCTTGGACAAGGGTTGATGCAAAGGAGAAATAAGAGACCTAATGTGAAAGGGCCTATAAAGTGGGAATGCTGAGCACCCATAGGTGACTCTGACACGAGGAACCTCCTAGGTTTGAGCAGGAGAGGAGCGAGGAGTGAATATCTCACCCTCCTTGATGCTCAGAGGTTAGTCTATGGGAGGCGATGCTTGCGGCCTCTGCTCAGGGTCTGACCCAGCTCTCTGTCCTCCTCCCTCCTCTCTCCCTGTCTCTTCTCCTTTTTCCCTGGCCTCTCTGTCCTCCCTCCATCCCTGCTGTATCTCCAGGCCTGGAGCTGTGCGACCCAAGCCAGAGGCTTCGGGTGGCCCTGGCAGGGGAGTTGGTGGGGGTGGGAGGGCACTTCCTGTTCCTGGGCCTGGCCCTTGTCTCTAAGGACTGGCGATTTCTGCAGCGAATGATCACGGCTCCCTGCATCCTCTTCCTGTTTTACGGGTTAGTATCACCCTTCACCTGTGGCCAGGCCCTTCCCACCTCTACTCCAGCCCAGAGACCCCTACTCTTTTCCAACTGCCCCTGTTCCAGGCCTGCCCCAGTTCCTCAGTGATGGGAGTTTCCCCATCCCTAGAGGGGGGAGGCTTACTGTGTACCCCACTACCCTGCACCCTGCTCCCAGCTGGCCGGGTCTGTTTCTGGAGTCAGCACGATGGCTGATAGTGAAGCGGCAAATCGAGGAGGCTCAGTCTGTGCTGAGGATCCTGGCTGAGCGGAACAGGCCCCATGGGCAGATGCTGGGGGAGGAAGCCCAGGAGGCCCTGCAAGGTAGGAGGCGTTCCTACAGGTGATGCCTCTTGTGCACTCAATGATGCCCTCACATGTTTGTAGCTGTGTCGCTGCCTCCCAGGTCCCCATCGAGGATCCTGGGCTCTCAATTATTTCCTCTCACAGACAGCTCCTCTCTCTCTCTCTGTCTCTCTCTCTCTCTCTCTCTCTCTCAGACCTGGAGAATACCTGTCCTCTCCCTGCAACATCCACCTTTTCCTTCGCGTCCCTCCTCAACTACCGAAACATCTGGAAAAACCTGCTTATCCTGGGCTTCACCAAGTGAGCCCGGGTGTGAGCTGAGGGTCAGGCCAGTAGCTGGGTTGGGGCTGGCTGAGTGGCCTGGCTGGGTTGGGGCTGGCCTGGAGACATCTGCAGAGGCCGAGCAAGAATGTGGAAGGATGCAGATTGAGAGTCAGACTCTGTTCTTTGCTTCCCCAACCCTTCTCACAGCTTCATCGCCCATGCCATTCGCCACTGCTACCAGCCTGTAGGAGGAGGAGGGAGCCCATCAGACTTCTACGTGTGTTCTCTGCTGGCCAGCGGCACAGCAGCCCTGGCCTGTGTCTTCCTGGGGGTCACCGTGGACCGATTCGGCCGCCGAGGCATTCTGCTTCTCTCAATGACCCTCACTGGCATTGCATCCCTGGTGCTGCTTGGCCTGTGGAACTGTGAGCATTCTCCCCTCCCCACAGTGGGGCTCAACAAGGAACCCCAGTAGAGGTGCCTTAGACAGGGCCAGCCTCCATTTCTGGCACAAGCATCCCAAGACCCAGACCCTGGCCCGAGCTTCTGTTAGCCTCCACCTGGCCATGCAACTCTCTCTGGTCTCCCAATTAGTAAATGTGCAGCTCCCACCTAGCTAGAGCTAGGGGATTGAGAGCCAAGGGGATCACATGGGGGACTAGGCCAGGCATCCATTCATATCATCCCTCTTGGTCCCCCAGATCTGAACGAGGCTGCCATCACTACCTTCTCCGTCCTTGGGCTCTTCTCCTCCCAAGCTGGTGCCATCCTTAGCACCCTCCTTGCTGCCGAAGTCATCCCTACCACTGTCCGGTGAGAGCTGAGGTGCTGCCAGGGGCAGGACCAGGCCTTGAGGCCTGAGGCTGAGGACAGGATCTGATCAGAGGGATGATGGAGGAGCCTGCTGGAGCAGGGTTGGGGTGAGGCCCACAGCTGCAGGCTGAGTGTGTTCTCCATCTCTCGCAGGGGCCGTGGCCTAGGTCTGATCATGGCGCTGGGGGCGCTCGGGGGGCTGAGTGGTCCAGCCCAGCGCCTCCACATGGGCCATGGAGCCTTCCTGCAGCAGGTGGTGCTGGCGGTCTGTGTCCTCCTCTGCATCCTCAGCGTCATGCTTCTGCCAGAGACCAAGCGCAAGCTCCTGCCCGAGGTGCTCCGGGATGGGGAGCTGTGCCGCCGGCCCTCCCTGCTACGGCAGCCACCCCCTAGCCGCTGTGACCACGTCCCACTGCTTGCCACCCCCAACCCTGCCCTCTGAGCGGCCTCTGAGCACTGTGGTGGAAGGCTGGTCTATACAGATGGGTGGCATAGGGCCTAGGCAAGGAAATTGGGAAGACAAGGAGGAAGGCTCAGAGGCACCTCATGCCAGCCACTGAGGAGAGCTCAGAGGGCTGTCCCTCCCACTCCCACTCCCATCTCCTCCCTGCTGCTTTATGTTCACTTCCTCAGCAAGAGTCAGGGGCGGGGGAGAATGCCACACTGTAACCATTGGGTCTGGGCTCCATCCTGTGCCCAAAGACATCCTCCCAGACCTCATCTTTCTTGCTCTATCATTGTTTCAATAAAGACATTTTGAATAAATGAGCATATCATAGCCTGGACTTCCCTCCCTTCTGTTGTCCTGTCTCGGGGGAAGGCTTCTCTCAGTGGAACACAAACCAATAACAATCTCCTGTCACCCTCCCTTTGCTCTGCCCTCAAGTGTCAACTTACAGAAAACTGCCACCACTTACTGACTGCTTGCCCTGCTGCCAGGACTACTCTACGTGCTTTGTACACCTCATGTCATTCAATCCTTACAGCAATCGCAAGGTAGGTGTTGGGAGCAATTAGGATTTGTTGTTGCAAACAATAAACACTGACTTTAATGCACTTATTAGATGTGGGGCAGGTTAGCGGTGAGACTCACAGAATAGAAGAAACAGACCTAGTCAGAAAGGGTCAAAATCCGAGAGGCCTCCTAGCACCGTGAGTAGGAACAGGTAACATTCTTGTTTGGGGCTTCTGCGTGAACTCCACTGTGCTGGGCACTGGCGGCTCACACTTGTAATTCTAGTTACTCAGGAGGCAGAGATCAGGAGGATTGTGGTTTGAAGCCAGCCCAGGCAAATAGTTTGAGAGACCTTATTTTAACACTCCATTATCATCAATAGATAGGTCATCCAAACAAAAACTCAATAAAGAAATCCAAGATCTAAAATATGCAATAGATCAAGTGGACCTAGTAGATGTCTACAGAACATTTCATCCAACCTCTACACAATATACATTCTTCTCAGCAGCCCATGGAACCTTCTCCAAAATAGATCATATCCTAGGGCACAAAGCAAGCCTCAGCAAATATAAGAAAATAGAAATAATACCATGCATACTATCTGACCACAATGCAGTAAAAGTAGAACTCAACAACAAAAGTAAAGACAAAAAACATGCAAACAGCTGGAAACTAAATAACTCATTACTTAATGAAGAATGGATCATCGATGCAATAAAAGAGGAAATTAAAAAGTTCCTAGAAGTCAATGAAAATGAAAACACAACCTACCAGAACCTATGGGACACAGCTAAGGCAGTCTTGAGAGGAAAGTTTATAGCCATGAGTGCATATATTAAAAAGATTGAAAGATCCCAAATCAATGACCTAATGATACATCTCAAACTCCTAGAAAAACAAGAACAAGCAAATCCCAAAACAAATAGAAGGAGAGAAATAATAAAAATAAGAGCTGAAATCAACGAAATAGAAACCAAAAAAACCATACAAAGAATTAATGAAACAAAAAGTTGGTTCTTTGAAAAAATAAACAAGATCGATAGACCCCTGGCAAACCTGACTAAAATGAGGAGAGAAAAAACCCAAATTAGTAGAATCAGGAATGCAAAAGGGGAGATAACAACAAACACCATGGAAGTCCAGGAAATCATCAGAGACTACTTTGAGAACCTATATTCAAATAAATTTGAGAGACCTTATCTCAAAAAAACCCATCGCAAAAAAGGGCTGGTGGAGTGGCTCAAATGGTAGTACTGCCACACACACACACACACACACAAAAACTCCATTGGAAGTCAATCTTTGGGAAACTCCACTAACGATTACCAGTGAGCATGTAACTGGCTAGCTTGAATAAAACCCCCACACCCACCCCTATTTCTCCCAACTAGGAGAGGGCAAGCAAAACTGGGCAGTCAGAACTGGGAGTGAATGTTGTTTAAGAAAAAACAATGGATTCCCCACTACAGTATTATGCTTTTACAGATGAGGAGACTGAACTCAGGGAGAGTTGGTAATGTGCCCAAGGTTCCACATCTAATGAGTGACAGAGCTGAGATACGGTTAGCCCCGAGTACAGCTCTTCACTGTGCAGTCTCTGGCCACCTTCCCAACTCCTATCCTTCAGGCACTTCCATTGGCAGGGGAGAGTGGAGTCTCTTGGCACCCGTGGGAAGGGGCAGTAGGAGACTAGGACGTCTACCTCAGTGCCAGGGCCTACTTCTCAAATCAGCCTGGCTTGGCTTTACCACTTTGGGCAAATCTCTTAACCTCCAACTTCTGTCAAGGGTTGCCATGAGGATCAAACAAGATAATGTATTTTAAGTATCTCTTAAGCTACTCCACTAGATGGTGAACTCTTTGAGGGAAGGAACTGTGTGTCTTAGTTAACTTTGAAACACCACGGTCTGACACATGGTAGTGTTCAAAAAGTTGTTGAGAAATATTTGTTCATTCTTTTAGCTAGTGTTTCCTATAGCTCATATATATAGCAGTATCATCCCAGATACCTAGGGCATAGGCCATCCTTCCAGGAGCTTAATAATCCATCAAACACTGGGAATAGTAATGGGAAAGAGAGGCTGGCAGTTTGGAGCACCAAGAAACTACTGCCTTTGCTGTTGTTTTCTTTTTGGGGTTTTTTGTTTTTTGAGTTAGGGTCTCACTACATAGCCCAGGCTGGAAGATGCTGCTTCCTAAAGGAGGTGAGACTCAAGAGAGTCAAAAAGTCCTCAAGCATGGGCCTCATACAGTGTTTTTCAGTTTTTTGTTTGTTTGGTTTTGGCAGTACTGGGGTTTGAACTCAGGGCCTCACACTTGTTAGGCAGATGCTCTATCATTTGAGCCACTCCACCAGCCCTGCTTTGTGATGGGTATTTTCGAGATAGGGTCTTGTGAATTATTTGACCAGGACTGGTTTTGAACCACAATCCCAAGTAGCTAGGATTACAGGTGTGAGCCATCTGCACTCGGCTCTCATACAGTGTTCTTAACTCTAGGCCAAGGACACAGGCAAATTCCTGGACATAAGAAAAGGGAAGGTTTACCTGAAAGAGTGATCCTGGAGAGAAGGATTCCTAGGAAAATGGAAGTCTTGAAGCCAGTCCCTTCTAGAAAAGGGAGACCCATTACTTGTAGAGTCCTGCAGCACCAAGGTTCCTTTCTCTCTCCCCTCTGCCAGTTACATCTGGGATCCACACTCTATGAATTAAGCCATGCTGTTGGGCTCCCAATAATAATAATTGTGTAATCTTCACAGTCCCTGATATAGGTATCATTTTTATCCCTGCTTTACTATTGAGAACATGGAAGATTAAAGAAATTGTCATGAAGTGACAGAGCCAGGATTCTAACCCAGGCTTTCTGGCTGTTGTTTTACCCCCATTCCAGTTCCTTATAGTTACATACTAGTGGCACCATTCTGAAGGATAACGTCCATAGGGTTTCTTCTGACTTCTATGTTGACTTTTTAGCTTTGAGTAGTCAGTGACGAAACAAGAGATCATACTTTTACTATGTAAATCCAGAGAGATCCTGTGACAAGGAAAATGGTGAAGCATATGTACTTTTTTTTTCTTTTTGAGATAGGGTATCATGTAGCCCAGGCTGGTCTCTAACGCACGATCCTCCTGCGTTCACCTCCCAAATGTTGGCAGTACAGGCACACAGTAACATGCCTGGCCTGGCCAGCATTCATGCTTTTCTGAAGAGCCCACGTAAAACCAGAGTCTTTATGTGCTAATGACACTATCCAATGTTCTTTGAGGAATAAAATCAAAGATATATGTTTGTTTGTTTGTTTGTTTTCAGACTATAGTTTTTCAGACTCAGGGCCTACACCTTGAGCTATTCCACCAGCCCCTTTTTTGATGGGTTTTTCAAGATAGAGTCTTTCAAACTATTTGCCTGGGCTGGCCTCAAGCAGGAGCCTCATACAGTGGCTTTTTTTTTTTTTTTTTTTTGGCAGTACTTGGGTTTGAACTCAGGAACTCACACTTGCTAGGTAAATGCTCTACACTTGAGCCACCACCAGCCCTGTTTTGTGTTGGGTATTTTTGAGATAGGGTCTTGTGAATTATTTGACCAGGACTAGTTTTGAACCACAATCCTCCTGATCTCTGCCTTCTGAGTAGCTAGGATTACAGGCATCAGCCTCCAGTGCCTTGCTCAAAGGGATATTTCAATGAACCTACTCTGCATAACCACTGAACAAAAGGTTCAGAGAAAGAAAGCAAAAGCTATCAGAAAGCTAGAGCAGCTCCCCTGTGGAAGGTAGGTGGAAAGTAAGCAAAATTCTTTTATTTCAACCAAAGAGGTAAAGGCAAAATAAATAGAAACATTCAAGCAGCATCAGTGGGGCTGGAGGCGTGGCTCAAGTGATACAGCACCTGCCTATCAAGCACAATGCCCAGAGTTCAAACCCCAGACCCCCTCTCCACCCCACCCCACCCCACCCCAAAAAAAGAAAGTCAATGAAGCACAGCAGGAGAAACCATCCTTCATCTGGAGGGAGAGGGGAAACTGGCATCTTCTCTGTGCTGTAAACTACCAACTTATGTGGCCTCACCGGAGCCTCACCAATAACATTCTAAAAAGTGATTATTTTTTAGACTTTTACAGATGGGGGATTGTGGCATGAGAGGTGAAAGACAGCCAGATTTTTTTTTTTTTTTTGTGGTACTGGGGCTTGAACTCAGGGCCTACACCTTGAGACACTCCATTAGTCCTTTTTTGTGAAGGTTTTTTTCCAGATAGGGTATTTAAAACCATTTGCCTGGGCTAGCTTTGAACCTCTATTCTCCTGATCTCTGGCTCCCAAGCAAGTAGCCAAATCTTTAGAAGTGAGAGCCTATAATCTTCCTGCATGCCAGCTAGGAAATCTTTCTGAGCAAATATTTCTCCAAGAAAGTGTTACTCTATAAACATTAAGCTCGTAAGATACCCCAGGAACTTCAACAAACTACTTTTCAGGCAAATAAGAGAAATGATTACTTTTCTTGAAGAGAGTGCTCGATTGAAACATGGATTTCAGAAATGCTTTAATTAGAAGCCGGGTGTGGTGGCTCAAGCCTGCAATTCTAACTACTCAGGAGGTAAGGATGGAGGCGAACAGTTCCTGAGACCCCATCTTAACCAATAAAAGGCTGGGTGTAAGTGATGAGCTTTTACATTCCAACTACTAAGGAAGTGAAAGTGGGATCACAGTCTAGGCCTGGTAAGGCAGAAAAGCGAGAGCCTATTCAAAAAATAAGGCAAGCAGAAAGGGCTGGGTGGCACTTGCCTGGCAAGTGCAACGTCCTGAGTTCAAACTCCAGAACTGC